AGACGAACTGACATGCTTGTGTCTCAAACGTTCATTGGTGACAGAAAAAGAATTTCTTTTGTGTGAAGTAAAGGATTTGTAAGTTTGTTCACGTTGTGTGAGGAAATTGCTATGGCAGTAATTTGCTGCTATCGATTTCCTCGGAAAAAATAATCGAAATGATTTCCATTGTGCATATGAATGAGAACGAATTTACAGTACAAAGTGGCGAGTATTGAGGATAAAGCGGTGTGCGCGTGAAGTTCGTTAAAATGAATTTGAATCACAAATAAGAAAAGGCAGTTTTTAAGACACGATCAAATATCTGAAAGTTAAAGCAAAAATTAAAAAAAGAGATTAGATATTTAGCTGCTTAATAAAATTACCTGACATATGCTGCAAAAGAAAAGAACTGAATTAGAATCGTTAGCTTCAAACAAATTTTCATTTTATCATTTAGAATAATGCACATTTTAAATCATAGCAGTAAAAATATATATATATATATATATATATATATATATATATATATATATATATATATATATATATATAACATATTTCGATTCACATTATATTTTTTAGTCCCGGATGCTACCTGGATTTTACCAAAAACAAAATAATTGTCATGCCTGAAGATGACTGAATGTACAGTCAAAAGTACTTGCGGATTTAAGAAAGACCTTATACAGATTATATTTTTAAAAACAAAGATCATTCATCGAGTGATTGGTAGGTTAATGCATTTTTAAAATTCTGTTGGCGAAGTGATTTAGCTATTTTATATCATTTACGTTACTAATTTATTTTTTTTATGAATGATTCATTGTAATATAAATTGAACTGCACCACATATTTGATATATATATATATATATATATATATATATATATATATATATATATATATATATATGTAAAAATGCATACTAATTGCTATGATTTAAAACGGTAATGGTAATATTGTCCGTTTCCTTATAAAGAGACATTCGATATTCATTGATGCTGTCGTTTGAAATTCATAAAATCTTGCAGTTAAAACAAGTTTTTAGAAAAACTAGTTCCTAAAAGCTGCTATTGCTTTTTGAAGCATTGATGTGTGCTTCCTTCAAAAACGTTTTTGTTTGAAGTAGTGTGGAATATGAACATCGTGATTATGTCATTATTCTCGCTTTGAATTACATGTGCTATTCATTTTAGTTGTTGCTGTTGTTGAACGTCCTCAAGTTATGTGGTTTTTCAGATCTCGACCAGTTCTTTGTGATTCTCTAGTAGCCAGTCTACGAGATTCAAAGTTTGGTCCTTACTGAGACCTGCACGCTTCACTCGTCCGAATCGGAGTCATAAAGTACATGCTATTTTTCTATAAGCATTAACAGTAGAAAAAAAAAGCATTTTTGTTTTTTGGCCACTGCTGGACTTAGATAATTTTTTATTAAGAATTTAATATTCAAATTTCTGAAACGATTCCTTATTGTTCATGCTTGCGTCTAATCAATAGAAAATACTTACATTTCAATGGACCTAAACGAGCAGAATTGGTAGAATTCTTGAATATAATATAAAATCGTTGTTTAAATGTTTTATGCTTAGATCTAATAAATAGAAAAGGAGGAGATTTCAAAGAAACTAATTTAATATAATTGGTAGAATTCTTGAAGATATAGGGTGGTCCGATATCTTGTCACCCCTACATAATATAATTTTCTATTTTAGACGGCTGACACGAAAATGATGGTGTTCATACCGACCTTCACGATGTGTGACAATGTCAATAAAAATGAATAAACTGAATCCAGTACATGTGCTTTGTTTTACTTGTTCTTCTATTGTCCTCATTACTTTTTGGTAGGGGATAACATGACCTTCGGACCAACCTGTAGTATGAAATGTTTGCTTAAATGTTTTATGCTTGGCTTTAATAAATAGAAAATAATTAAATTTTCAATGAAACTAAAATAGTAGAAGCGGCAGAATTTTTTAACATTATATAAAACGGTTGCATAAATGTTTTATGCTTGCGTCAATACAAGAATTTTCAATGGAATTAAACTAGTAGAATTAATAGAATGATAAAATAACGTATCTTGTTTTGTTTAATCTTAGGATTTAGCTTTTCCTTCTTTTCTAAGAGTTACATAAATTTGTGTACTACTGTATATGAACGAATCATGAAAAAAAGTGTATTCTTATATTGAAGCAAATTTGCAAAATACAATATTTGCAACAATTGTTTTCTTAAAAAATTGCATTCAAATATTAAATTCGATACAATGCATCTATAATTCTCAAAATGTGTGTGTGTATGTATGTGTTTGTGTGTGTGCATGTATGTGTTTGTGTGTGTGCATGTATGTGTTTGTGTGTGTGATCGGATGTCGTTTATGCATTTCCAACGTTTTCGTCAGATTTCGATGAAATTTTTTTGTTTGATAGATAATTCGTCAATGCCGGTTTTTTGTCCAAATTGTTGGCGACAATGGCTCTCCACTACTTTCTGTTAATCATAACTCTCAGCAAGGTTATACTATTCACTATCTGTTCTTGTATATATATCTTTCATAAAAACTTTAATAAAAATAAATAGTTTAAATTATTACAATAATATTATTTATTATTATACAGTTCCCTTTTCAGGGCCCCCCCATTCAAATTGTTAAACCCCCCCATTTGGGGACGTGCCTCAGTTGCACCCAATTGTTGATGCTAATATTGATTTTCGGGTGGTCTGACTTTAAACTTAAACTGATCCAACCGAGCGGCAAAAATTCTCAAAAGTTCAAAGACGGGTTGGTCACACTGCTAGTTGCTAATATAAATAGAATTTAAAAAGAATCCTAAATTTTCGAGCTATGCAAAGTAAGCAGTACTTAAAAACTTGAGCCACACTTGTCTTTTTGCCCGGAAGGTACAGTATACACTCTGAAAGGAGACTCTGAAAGGAGACTCTGAAAGGGGACTCTGAATGGAGACTCTGAAAGGAGACTATTTTTTAATGACAAGTTCACTTCGGTTTTGTAATTTAAGTTTAGGAAACAATTTGGGCGCAAGTAGAGAAAATTTTCACACATTAAATTTGAAACTTTTGATGCTTTCTACTTCTTAAAGGAATGTTCAACGTAGCACAATATCGTTAAACACTGAAAGTAATATAGAAGAACATCAAGTCCCCGACGTTCGAAAAACAGTAAGCTAACTAAACTTAAATTCCTTAATATCTCTCAATTCTAGGAAATAAACATTGACATATTAACAAAATAATTTAATCACTCTATTTTGTTAATGAACTACATTCATTGGAATCAAATGGTGGAGTAATGGATAGCAGCTTGGATTGAGAAACTTGAGAGCCGAATTCAAATTCCAGTCGAAACAATTACATTCACTTATGTGCTAATGACCTTGGAAAAGGTATGAATCCTCTTCTCCCTGCAGCTATGGGTAAATAGTAGGGCAGACAGGGTTCTATAGCCTTGGATGGCAACTGGTCTAGGAGAAGGACAACTCTGAATTCAAAACCTGCGGAGGGTCGTTTGGGGGGGGGGACTCGCACCAGGACTCTGTATTCGACCTTTAAAAAAGTGTGGATAGTTCGACACAAAACCGACAACACTATAATCAAATCGCATGTGCTGGTGTCGGGCTGTCGGTTTCGAGGAACTTATCTGCTTGACTCTCATACGTCGAATTCGACGGCAGTATCAAATACACACACACACACACACGCAAAAACACACACACACATATATATATATATATATATATATATATATATATATATATATATATATATATGGGGAAAACAATAGTATATATTTTTTTTATATATTAAGTAATTATATTGTCTACGATTATAAAGGATTAATCAAGGAGAACTAGTTTATAAAATAGTTAAAAAAATCATAGACAAAACGACACGGAATTAACCCAGGCTCCCTTCCATGAATAATTACTGCCAATATATATATATATATATATATATATATATATATATATATATATATATATATATATATATATATATATCATTTCACTCCTAGCAAGGCAAGAAATCCACTAAGACGAAAGAGATTACTAATTGTGTGATAAGAAAGACAAAATATTATTAAGGAGAGAGTACACTAAAAGAACAGGAATTAAGAATACAATGATAAACATTTTTTAAAATCAAATTTGACTGGAACACAAGAATTCTATATATCTTAGTTTAAGCACGTTTATTTTGAGTTAAAATTTGCTATTCTGATATGCCTGTTGTTTTGAAGTAAAGTAATATAGCAGTAAATAATGCCGTAAAAATTAAACCCATACGAATTTTGAAGATAAATCGATCTTGAATGATTGATCCAGTTTAAAAGGCATATCAACCCTTTGCACGTTATTTAAATCCAAGAAATAATTTTAGATTTGCATAATATTTTGATAATATAATGATCTAATGATAAAAGTATAACTAATTAATCCATAGGAGAGGGGAAAAAGTGGATTCATACTCCTCCAAAGAGTATTTATGCGTAAGTCAAGATAACGAACCTGACTGGGATTTGAACTTGGATATCCGATTAACAATTCCGAACAATTATTGATTAAACCATCGACACATCCATGCTTACACCACTTTGTATTCTCAATCTGTCACTCATCTAGATTCTGACCAGACTCGATGTTGCTTAACTTCAGTGATTGTACGGCAACTGGCGTCTCAACACGATATGCACCTTAAACTGTCTTCTGTCCGAACTTACACAGAATGAAAGTGTTATAAGTTTACATTATCTGGGGTTAGCAAGTAAGCTTCGTTATTAGCAGGTATTATTATGACTGACTTCACTGATAGTTTCAGCAAGAATATAGGCGAAATCTCAGTTAGCTGATGCCGTATTCGCCCATATAAAGCCGCCGAGTTTTTCTACAATATTTATTTCAAGTCGGTTTCTTTTCATATCCATTCGCAGCTAATATAAAACAGCGCAATACGACTAATTAAACTATCAGTGCGCCGTTTTCATTCACTTGCCGAGTTCAGGGCAACAGCTGCTCACTGTTCGTTGGCCGTGAAATGGGTTGCCGCAAAGGTTGTGTCAAGTGAGAAGGGGGCAGCTGGATCGGTCTAACAGAGAAAATTCCGATTGAGAACTTGCCCCGAGATGATGCACTTTGTTGCTCGTATGAAATAATATCACCATTGACTTTTTAGTTTATTCATCAATCTTTTGTGCATTTCTAGCCATGAGTTTATGGCATCTCATCAAATTCTCACTAAATATTTGCCTGCGGTTTTGCATCAGAATGTCCCTGTCAAGGGTGACAACGATTGTAATAATTTTCTAATATTACCGCGCTGACGGTGAGTTAAGTCTATGTGAGTAGATTAACCAACTAAATATATCTTCCCCTAATCATCCTATTATCATCGTACTTATCCCTCTATTCCTTATTTTGAACGACTATTACTCTTAGGTAATTCCTCACAAAAATAGCAAATTGTGCCCATGTTGATAATTGATATTAACATTGATGCTAATGTTAACCGTGTTTTAAAAAAAATCCCATTGCTATAGATACACATATATAAATATCTATATATTCAGTTAAGTAAAAAACTTGATAATGGTTAATAGAATAACCAAAAGCGCTCGGATCAATAGAATATTTGGACAGCTTTTACATAATTTATATCCTGAAAAATATCAAAACGCAAGAAAAATTGAATGAAAAGCTTAACCGCAGTACCTTGTCACTTATCTTGAATGAAACTTCTATCTATCTATCTATCTATCTATCTATCTATCTATATATATATATATATATATATATATATATGTGTGTGTGTGTGTGTGCGTGTGTGTGTGTATAACTTTCATTAAAAATATGTGTGTATAAGTTTCATTAAAGGTATGTGTGTGCGTATAAGTTTCATTAAAGATATGTGTGTGTGTGTGTGCGTGTGTGTGTGTGTGTAAGGAAATCAGATAGGAATATACCTGTAAAATGAACAATATGAAACAATACAAAAGACAAAAGGTAATCTTATCTTAGCCGACACGTTTCGTCCTCTGAGGATTTTTATCAGGGCGATTGATACATTTATCACATTTGCCTTGATAAAACCCCACAATAAGATAAGTTTCCCTTTTGTCTTTTCACACACACACACACACACACACACACACACACACACACACACACACACACACACACACGCATATATATATATATATATATATATATATATATATATATAATTTTGGATTTATCTTTACTCCGACATTTTTTTTATTATATCAAACGCTAATATGGTGGACACTTCGGATTTGAAAATAGTTGCTTCGTTTTTATTTATTAAACAGTGTGTATTCCGTCTATCGGCCTACAATGAATAATAATAAGAAAACTGTCCCATTCTTTGTACAAAGGGGACGCAAGTCCGTTTCCTGCCGGAGTACACGTTTTAACATTACTAACAAAACTTTAATCCTTTCTCAAATTTTCAACGCCCCTTTCTCGTTCTCCCTCTCTCTCTCACACACACACACACATCTATCTATCTATCTCTCTCTCTCTCTCTCTCTCTCTATATATATATATATATATATATATATATATATATATATATATATATATATATATATATATATATATATATATATATATATATATATATATATATATATATATATATATATACAGAGATAGATAGATAGATAGATAGATAGATAGATAGATAGACAGATAGATAGATCCACATTTCCAAACTGTGTTGGTCGCCTCTCGGTCATGAAAAAGAAAAACACACCATTTGAAAGCGTTTTTTTTTTTTTTTTTACCTATTTCGACCACCCCCTTCGCTTTCATGTAAACTTTACTTACACCTCACTCCGTGATTGTTCTTCCTGAAATAAATCTGAATTCATTTATATAATATTAAAAAAAAAAACAAACAAAACGTGTGACAATTACAAGAGAAATTCGTGCTTCTCGCCAGATTTTATGACGGAGTTTGCCAATTGCGTGTCATGGTATGATATTTCTTCGACATTCTTAAATGAAATGTTATCTTTATGTATAAATTCTACAAACTAGCATCTTTGGTCTTATTAACTAAATTTTAACACACCTTTCAATTTTCAAAGTCGCCCCATACACACACATATATATATATATATATATATATATATATATATATATATATATATATATATATATATTAATAAATACAATTATTCCTATATCTACGTTCTAGTGTGCTAGTTTTCCAGCTCATCTGCACAAGGTATATCTACTTATGCCCGATAAGCTGGGAAAAGCAGTGAAACTTCAGGCGACACTAAAACCCATAAATAAAAATAGGGAGTTATTTTCAATCACCCTGCATGCAGGGTGATAATAAAGTCATTATACAGTTAATTAAAATAAACAGCAATGCATTGTAACAAATGTCTTGTAGTTCGAACAGCATCAGTAATTAATTTACTATTGTTTCATATAGTATTTTAGTGTTATTAACTAGAATTAACCAGAACTATTTTAAGATTAAATTTTTGGGCTGATGCTTAATTGCTTTGTCTTAATAGTGTATAGTGACATTTATTATATATATATATATATATATATATATATATATATATATATATATATATATATATAATAATAATCTTATAAATATAAGTAAGTATACTCGTCCGGAAAAAAAACATAGGTGGCTTGTAAATGAACAAACCAATACCCAAGGAAAAATAAGGAATAAAAAAAGAAAGAACTAAGAACATGTAATTCAGGCGAAAACAATCGACCAGAATCCAAGCTCAGGGAACAAAGAAAAAAAAAAAACTCCGACACGAGTAAAGTAAAAATAACTAAGCAAAGTGCTCAATACGTTAAGTAAAGCAAATTTCACTATGAACCTAGAGAGCCAGACAATCCTACCTAGGTTTCACCTACGCGGATCGTCATGGCCGGCATACTCTGACGATCCGCGTAGGTGAAACCTAGGTAGGTTTGCCTGGTTCTTTAGGTTCATAGTCATATATAAATATATATATATGTATGTGTGCGTGTGTGTATGTATGTGGCGTAGGATGATGGTGAGAGAGTATCATCTCAACTATTGCAGTTTCAGAATGAGAGATTTCAAACGACACTCTCTGGTTTACAGTGATATCGTTTGTAATCAGCTAAAAAGATATTACATGTCTTGCTCCCTGTATTATCAAATGAGTACGTATCGTGCTTTCCGATTGGTAGCTTTGATATCGTTTCTACGATTATCTGCGTGTGTATATCTTTTTTTACTTTCATTTTTAACGAGATTAAAAAAAAATGAAGAAAAGAACGATCGTCTTCCTTGTGACTCTTTTTCGCTAATAAGGCATTTTATATTTCGTTGCTGATTGTTTCTGCATCCAGTTGTATTTGTTCAACGTCTGCACGATTGACACTTAATTGTACCTGTCAACAAACACTGGCGACATGATGAACGTTCCTCTTTTTTTTACTACTGACGAGAAAAAACTGAAAAAGAAAACGTTTAGAATGCTTGCAAGTAGAGCATGCGCACTCTACGTGTTGGTTAAGCTTATAAAATGGGACATGCAGTTATTGATGACGAAGCTCAGGTGAAATTAATACGATGACAATGACCCTCATAACACAAGGGAATATATAGAGACCTTCAACAAATGAATAAATTTGAAAATAAAGCCCCACGATAAGGTAAGTTTTCCTTTATACACACACACACACACACATATATATATATATATATATATATATATATATATATGTGTGTGTGTGTGTGTGTGTGTGGAGGGGGATATCTCAAACGTTTTTATAGTGGAAACTTCGTATTTGAAATAGACGCTACATTTTTTATTTATAAAACGGTATTATGTCTCCCGGCCTGCGCATTGGAGAAATCATAGAAACTAAAATCTCTTTACATACTTATCTTTTTTAATCATTTCAACAGTAGAAGGGTGGAAAGGTCACAAGTACGCAGGGTTTACAATTGAGAGAAAAACCTGTGTATAGGGAAGATTGAGGAAACGACAGAAGATAAACGGATATCAAGAAGATAAATGATGGCGATTGACGTTTCTTTTATATTTTTTAACATTTCAGTTATCAAAGAAACAAGTAAATGGAAGGGAGTTTCGCAGGAGGGCAGTGCGAGAAGAAACTGATGTGGTAGAAAAGGCGGTTGCATTTCGCTATTTCAACAGTAAACGGCTGGGGCCTAGATGCAAATCTAGTTGTACGGTTAAATTCTGCAGAGGTGAGACAAATATGGCGAATAAAAGTTGATATAGATCTGTTGGTAGATATAGCTGATTTTATCAATATATTTCTACTCGGTGTTTTGACCGTTCTGGGTATAACGATAAAGTACATCTGCATCCTGCGTAAGACAATAACTGTCCGACAGCAAGGCCTCTGATCAGAAGGTTTTGAGGAGCGCGGAACCACCTCTTAATTGCTGGTGTTCTCAGGTCCACACTGATTCAGGGTGGTAGCACCTGTTAGGGTCCCAGCTATGGGTGAATAGTTAACCTCCAACTGGGTGTCAAAACAGTATGAAAGTTTAAATATAGTATCTGTCTATATTTCTGAGATGAGATATTATGAACATTATTTACATTATTCGGACAATTGTCCCCATCTTTGTTGCCATATTTATCACAACGTTTCGGCCGTTGTAAGGTCCGGCCTTCTTCAGCGAAATTAAGGATTCAGTTCGACAGTCCAACCACCTGAAGAAGGCCGAAGCGTACAATGGCCGAAACGTTGTGATAAATATGGCGACAAAGATGAGGACAATAGTCCGAATAATGTAAATAATGTACTATTTTTAAACTATAAATTTCCTATTATTTTTCTAAAATGCTCTTAGCATATCTTCATTGAAACAAATGACATCATATATTATGAAATTTTCAGCATATCTTACTGTCTTTCATCACCACTCAATATAACTAGCTAATTTTCTTTAATTTCTTTTACTGTCTCAAGTTTGTATATAACACTTGAAGAATTTCAATAAGAAATGATTCGGTAAATTGTGAAACAGTACTTATACTCCTACGTAGAAACGAAATATGAAAGAAAGGTGTTTATTGAGTGGTAATATAAACAAAAAAATATACTAATACTCTGCTTAGAATCAGAACGTTACAACTGGTATTTCTAGGGAATATGAGTAAAGAGTGCTTTGAAAACGTGACACTGTGATAACTTGTAAACGACCAGGTGGAAAGATAAAAGCCGCGAATAACCTACCTAAACGAGCTTGTTCGCAGAACTGTGATGGCTAAGAACTATGAAGGATAAGATTTAAAGAAACATGATCTCCCACGTACTGGAGATGAGGGAGAATATAGGTTGCGAATCGTGGGGCGGCAGATATTGAAAAAGTTGTCGAACTTAAACATACCGCTGCTTAATCGCTATTTCCATGGAAAATGTTCAGAGGAACTACATTCCTTACATCCACCAATTCTTATTACATCACACAGTACATATCGAGATACACGCATGCGCAGGAATGGCAAATGAGCAAATAATCATTGAACTAACATTGATTGATATATATGAATCGAGTAAATGATAGATATATAATGAAATAGCGATACGGAAAAAGAAATACATAGTTAAAAAAAACTTTAAAGAAGTACACATTTTAAATTTTAATATAAAATTAAAATATGAGATAAAATTCCCTTGTTTATGAAGAAATATAGTCACCATAGTAATATAGAACCATCGCTTTATTATTATTTTTTTTTTAATGGAGAACATCCGCTGAAAATAGAAATCGGTGCCGTGCGTTGAAATCTTTGAGAGGGAAAAATCGTGCATTAATATCATTTGAACATCAGTACGTAAACTCCGAAATTTTGGCTGACAGCGAACGTGTTGCAAAGCTTATTTTGGTGAGAGTGAAGCTTGCGCGCTATGGCTACTACAGTGCCGTGACTAACAATACCGGCTAGTGCGTGCTTTTAAAAAAATGTGTGTGATATATATATATATATATATATATATATATATATATATATATATATATATATATATATATATATATCTGAAATGTGTGCAATGGCAAGATGGGCAGAATGAGAGACGTCTAGACAGAGAGTTGCAGATTTTTATATCGATTAGCATACGGCGGAATAGACACAAATGGAAAGAAAGTACACAGGAAGTAGAGAGTTGAAAAATATATTTGTAGAAAGAAAGAAAGAGAAAAGGAAAATAGAAGAGATATATTTGTGGAAAGAAAGAAAGAACGAAAAAGAGTGAGTAAGAAAGAAAGAAAGAAAGATGAAGTGAAAGAAAGAACGAAAAAGAAAGAAAAAATGGATGAAACAAAAAAGAAAGAAAAAGGAGAAATATGTAAAAAACAAAACAAAAGAAGGAATAGACTATTTGAGAAGAAAGAAAGAAAGAAAGAAAGAAAGAAAGAAAGAAAGAAAGAAAGAAAAAAGTAAGGAAATATATTCGAGAAGAAATATTCGAAAAAGAAAGAAAGAAGAGAAAATGTTCATGCAGAAGGAAAGAAAAAAAAAGAAGAGAAATAAAGAAGGTGGGAAAACGTTCGAGAAAGGTGAAGGAAAGAAAGAAAGGAAATATTCTAGAGGAAAAAAGAGGGGAAAATATCCGAGAATGATGGAGACAAGAAAGATTAAAATAAGTGATCTGCTACAAAGATATATTTGCAGAAAGAAGAAAAGAAAAATGGATGGAACAAAGAAAGAAGAAATAAGATGTGTCAAAGTCAAGAAAGAAAGAAAAACACAAAGAAATATGTAAAAGAAAAAATGAAAAGAAGTGAAAAAGAAAATAAATGAACTGGAGCAAGCGAAGAAAAGAAAAACACAACGTTAAAAAATGGGGAAGATAGGATGAAGAACGAAATAAAACCTGTGTAAAGAAAATTGAAGTTTAATGAAAAAAAAAAACAGAAAGAAAGCAAACATCTTGTGTCCGTGAATTGTGCTTGGCTTTAAAATGAGTGCGAAGGGAAAAAAGCATCAAAATTGTATGTTGATTCACAAAAGATTCAGAATTGAAGCTGTCACTTTGTTAATTCTATACAAATATTTGTCGTGTGCAGAAAACGGCTAAAATGAACATTTATTCTTGAACTAGATTGATTTAAATATCTCTCACTGATCATGCATTCCTACATCGTTTCGGGCACTCCGACGTGGCGCAATTGTTTGCAAGCTTGTCTCGCTAGATCAATTATGACAGAGAAGTGAGAAACTCCTCAATCCTAACTGCGTGCTCAAACGTTTCGGCCTTGTTCCACACTCTAAGCTACGCTTCTAAAATCACAATTCCTCCATTGTTCCACTGGATCGGTTCTCTTGTCGTTTTAAATAAATCAATGACTAATACTAACAGTTGTGAAGACTTAGTATGAGAAATAAATGAAAGGAAAACTACAAACTAGATCACACACACACACACACATACATACATATATATATATATATATATATATATATATATATATATATATATATATATATATATATATATAAACATTTCAGATATAGCTAAAATATATTTGTAAATGGACAATTTAAATAAAGGCAAAACTTTAGCCGACGCGTTTTGTTCTCTGCTGAACTTTATAAAAATATGCGTTGGTAAAGTTCATCAGAGGACGAAACGCGTCGTGTAAGATTTTCTTTTGTCTTCATATATATATATATATATATATATATATATATATATATATATATATATATATATATATATATAAGCATATGTGTATAAATGAAATAAAAGGAACTTTCAACGACCTTCATTACGTAAAGTTTCATATGCATAGAAGCGAAAACTTCAACTTTTACGATCATCTATACCTTGTTCTGTATCTTTTTGTATTTTACAGCCAGCATTGTTTTTGTAACGCCATCTTTTGTTGATTTTATACACTAGATACACACACATATATACATATATATATATATACGAACGTACATATATGTATGTATGCGTGTGTGTCTGTATAGTTCATTGGATGAGACGAACAAGAGAAAATCTAATAAGATTTTTATTCAGTTTTTAAAATGACTAAACGAGTTTGTAGAAATTATCCGCAGTTAAGCAGAGATTCAAACAGTGACTTTTATACTTTTCATGCGATATATTTAAATATTCTGATCGTACATGTAAATAAGAAGTATACAAAAACCTGTCCCTGACATTATACTGCATCGGATGCAATGTTTCTATTTTTTTGCAGGGTAGAGAGAACTTTATAACTGTTGGTATGAAGAGACCAGCTGTCGTAAAAATTAAATGCTTCAATCTTATATATTCTGCTTGTATGCCTATAAATGAATATAAGGCGTACGTGCGGTAAATTGCCGCCATTTTATATTTTTCATTTCGCGCATGCGCGTTGTTTGTTTCATATTTTGTTGACTGCACGGTCTAGTAGAGTCAGTTAGGGACCGTCTGTGCGATAAAGAGCGCCATGACTCAATTAACTCCACCAAAAATTTGGAAACGGCAAGCTGTACTGCTTAGCATTCGCGCCGGAAGCTCCAATACAAACAATTCAGAGTGTGTGGGTTTCAATCTGAGGGCAGTGCAAAGGATTCAGAAAGTGTTGGAATTGTCTAATGGTGGTCGTTCTGATAAGAAAAGAAACTCCCGCATTTGTTGGCGAGGGTCTCAAGCTTAACACGTAGTCGTACATCAAGTTTCCTGAGGATGTAGTTCTGCCCTGAGTTAAGAGGATGTTTACTGGAAGACCTTATGCCTGGCAACAGAACTCTGCAGCATGCCGCACAAGCAGGGGTACCCAGTCATGGATGTCAAACAATTTCTGCGACCACATTCAACACTTACATCTCACCACTTAATTCCCTAGACTGAAATCCCCTTGATTATTATATGTGTGGCACAGATGAACCAGAGACCAAGAACATTCTTTTTGAACTCCAAAGATGAACTGAAGGCAAGGATTATGGCAGCATTCACCAAAATTAACAAGGAGACCGTCCAGAAGAGTTTCAGGAGGTTCCGAAGTCGTCTGGAGCTCGTGGTTGAAGCCAATGGGGATTTAATTGAATACATTTACTGTATATATATATTTGTGTAATTTTCGTAAATGTATGTGTTAAAAAGAGATATTAGTGCTATTTTCGTTTTTGCGTAATTTAGACGATAATTTATCCATCGCACCTTGTAATAGTTAATCTACAATTCATATTTACTAGTAAGACAAACCATACATTCCTTGATACTATTTTATATTCTGAAATACTTTTTCTTTAAAAAACAATGCAGATAGGAGAGTAATTCAATAAGTCTTCGTTGAATCACGAGTTCTTGGTTAAACTAAGCGGGATGTTTTGCAATTGAGCGAGACAAACTATGTCACCCAAGAGGTGGCTGAATTCAGACTTTAGATTTTGTTTATATTCAAGGGAATTCATTTTTGTAATTTTTAAATGTAATTAGAACTTTTAAAAATCTTTTCACCGCATCTGAATCTTTATTAGAAAACAGAATTTTGTGCCCTTGTGAACATGCGTTAGATAAATGATGCAGTCAAATTCTATACGTGCTTTACACACACACACACACACACACACACACGCACACACACACAAACACACACTCATACACACATATGTATGTATGCATGTGTATATATATATATATATATATATATATATATATATATATATATATATACTAACACACACACATATACATAAGAATGCATACATATATATATATTTATATATAGAGACGTATATTAACAGATATATGTATGCATATGTCTATATATATATATATATATATATATATATATATATATATATAGCAGGTGTTCATCCAAACAATTTTTTAGTGAATAACATCGACAAGATTCCTCTACTTAACTTTTTATAACGTTTCTACCAACTTCCGATTAATTGTTTTACATTAGGTTTAAAATGTTATCCGGTCCAAGGTCCATTTATATAGTTTCGAGTATTTTCGACTGTAACTATTGTTCTTATCAAGAAAGAAAAATGATATGTTAAGCAAAATGTGTTTATCAAATTCGGGCGTTTTTTAGAGTATTTTAACTAGAATATTAATCATGTTTTAATTACAATATTAATTATGTGTTAATTAGAATGTTAATTATCAATTTTAGTGTGTTTTAATTTGAATATTAGTCAACTGAAGGCGGTGTGATTTGCAAGATTTAAACTGAATTTATTCGGGTTCTTTTTTTTAATGTGCGCATATCAATATACGATCTTATATGGATATTTCATTTTTTGTTTGTATTTTCCGTTATCATCATAGATTCTAAAATTTTGATTTTTTCTTTGCAATGAATTTAAAATTTTTAATCCTAATGGAAATCGTCTCAGTCGGGAGGTGGAAAAATTATATAAAATTTAAATTGATAAATTTTGACGATGTTATTCAATAAAACTGCTGTACATATTTTGACTTGGTATGTTCCCGTGCAGATGTTTTTATGTAAATCTGAGCATTCTAACTTCACATGCAGGAAAAAAAAATACTTAAACCAACGTACCTGTGAAGTCAATGTGATTTGTCGCTGGGTGTTTGTATGCATGTAAACACTTTGAAGAACTGTTGATGAGTTTAATGTTTTGTTACCTGTATTTTTGGGTAGTTTTCTTTTCGATTTTTTTTCGAAGATGATATTCTCAGAATTCTTACTTTTTTATTACGAATAAACAAAAACCAAACAAAAAAGGAAAAAAATCATACAAATACACACACAAGACGAGAGCAGCGCTTGAACAAACAAGGAAAATATGACTATTAGCAAGAGCGACAAATACATTTAGGTGCATCTTACCTTTTTAATAATATACTGATTTATATACATATATATTTTTTAGGGGCGTGTGAAATAAAATCGTGTGCAAAGTGGGGGTGCGCATGTCAGTGATGATTAATTTTAGCGAATTGAATTTGACGAAAGACAAACAGGCGGACACAGGTGTAGTGTAAAGTTTGAAAAACATGTCGGACTAAAAAGTGAATGTGATTGGTTGCTTCGCTGGCCTTTACGCATGCGTGCATATGAACAGGGTGCACTTCACTCAACGGTCACATTCAGTCACAAACAGCAACAATCTTTTATAATAAACCATAGCAACACTGTTATAGTGAATAAAAAAAACTACTTGCATACTCGAACGACAATGACTAATTGCCACTAGTTGCGTGTGCTGCGAATTTACAAGTGCCTCTAACATCTTTGATCTAGCAATTACCATAAAATATGAAGCTAAGGCAGTTAGTTGCAAAACTACATATATTATATGAGATTACTTAGGCTTCGTATTCATTTTTGACAATTCTTTTATCTTATTTCTGTTGCTTTTTATCGCAACTCCCAGGTCTATCCTCCAACGTTTAAGCAAGCAGAATAGGAATTAAATAATATATAGGTTTTCGAAATGTACTGTTTGCTTAAAAGTTGTATGTAAGGATCTGAGTGTTACAACAAAAAGGCTTGTAAAATAAAACAAAGATTAGTTAAAAGAAATATGAATAATGATAATAATTCATCTAAAAGATTAATAACATAATTTCTTATTTGTACGCATCTCATATATATTTAGTTAGGTATAGTTCATGTGATTACATTGATAGTATAATTACAAAACATTGTCTTTAACATGCTACTGTGTGCAGTTCATATACCTGATTTTTTCTTTTCAAAATTCATGCTGCGTCTGATTTTTTTTCTTGTTTTGTTTTTGAATACCAGTCATGCATATTGCGAATAAATAAGAGAAAGGATGCGTTAAGCATATTATTTTCTGCAGTATTTCACTTTTTATCTGCCATTAATCTTTCAAAATGGCGAAATAACGTTCAAAGGACAAAATAAAATGTTAATTGGAAGGCGATTAGCGTTATGTAACACAAATCTATTTTCTGCAAATCGGGATAAGATGCTCAACGACCTGTTGCGGAGGCAATGTGAATTTCTAGTCTACTTGTGCTGGGTGCAAATAAAATGT